GGAGGGCTCCATCGTAAATCCAGGGAACCACTGCAGAAAGAAAGAGCCGCGTCCTTCCTGAACCATGAAAGTCGCCAGAGGCCATTACACACCCCTTCCCCTGAGACCACAAAGAACAGGTCATTCCCAGGTTCCAGTGACTGATCCTCAATGCCTCAGTGTCGTAGCATGTCACAGACACTGTAGGCATTCTCTCACCGGTCCCTTCAATGCTGTGTGATCAGAGCTAAACCCAGAAGAGCATGGCTGAAATACCACAGCGGAACAATTTAGACCCAAGAGTACAGTTCTAGCCGAAACAAAAGTGGGGACTTGTGCGTGTTCTTATCAACAAGAAAGCAAGAAGTGAGGTAAGCCAATGCAGTACTGAGAGAATTTAGAAGAGGAACAGAGGCTGCAGTGGCCTTTGCTGGCTCTGGTCACCCTGGGCCCCACAGGCTGCAGGTGGAGAAGCTAGGGGCCACAAGGCAGGGGAAGACACAGAAAGGACAAGTTGTACTTTCCATCCACAGATGGAAACAACACATCTCCCAGGGCTCAGTACATGCTCTTCGTGTGACTTCACAGGGCCACAGGAGTGGGTTGCAGCTGTCGGAGAGCCAACAAGCAGTTTTACCATGTGGTGAGCTCTGTCACTGGAGGTGTGCAAACAAAGGCAGAAGACCTGCTTATGGGTGATGCTTGGTGTGGTGGTGCCTGCCTGTAATCCCAGCATTTGGGAGGATGAGGAGAAAGGAGAGTTCCGGACTAATCTGGGTACCTACAGAGTCCCCATCTCAGAAACACCCAAAGGAAGAACAAGAAAAAAACCAAAATGCTGCAGAGGGCACACATACTGCTAGCAGGGTCTTACTGGAGGGCATTTTGGTTGGAATCTTCTTTCAGTGTATCACTGTATCAGTGAAACGAAGCAAGAAAAGAAAGGGACTGGGGCTGGTGCGGGGGGAGTCCAGGACCCTCTTCTCCTCCGGGGCTCTTACCACCACCCTTTCCCCCCAGCCAGTCTGGACTGTGGTTCCTGCAGCCCCTGCACCCACAACTTCCAGGATGCAGCATTCCCCTGGGGCAGCCCCGGACTGCATCTGCACAGCTGAGGCCCTGAAACCCAGATGTGGGGCTCAACACCAGCCCAAGCTTCCTTGTTCCCCCAGCACCCTGGATTTTCCAGAGAACACAGCTCACAGGAAGGGCACACCCCTATGGACATTTGCAGGCCAAGAGTGTGTCTTCTGTCCTGGGGCTGCAAAGCCCTCATCTGTGCAGAGACTCTGCTCTGGGCGACCACAGAGATGATGATGGTGCCCTGGTAGGACAGCCGAGCTGACTAGACGTCCTGGGACCTACCCCAGGCTAGGGCTAGCCTATCCAGATTCTTCCCTGAATTCTAGCACCCTCAGATGCAGTGTGGGATGCCACACAAAGAATATGAATACTAACTTGGATGTGGTTCTCCACCGGGCTTCTGAGGCCTCCATGCAGGAAAGAACAGGACACAGCAAGGACAGAGTGTGGATGGAATGTCCCTGATGCCAGGATTTGACAGGAGCTTGGTTGAGTGGAATGGGGCTGGGAGTGTGGAGGGGCCAGCTCAGGGACTGGCTCTGTGCTAAGTACTCCTTGGAGTGGCCAGGGACACTCCGGGGAGGTCATTACAATTATGCCCATTTTACAGATAAGGACAATGAGGTCCAGAGATGTAAAAGAGTCCATTCAAACAGACAGAGAGGGACCAACAGGAACTCACATCCCCAGTCTCTCCTTCTTTAGTCCACTACCCCAGCCTCCTATCGTCATCACCAGCAAGAGCACCTGGTGGGTCCAGAAGTTTCCAGCCCTGTCTTCACTCTTTTGCATTCCTGGATCCATGTAGCCTTGTCCTCTTCCCTTAGACTGTTTCCTCAACTATTAAAAATCTCATCCCTTCCTTCAAACACCCATATCACTGATCGTCCCATGGGATTACCCTCTGTGACCAACAGGAGACCATTAGAAGTCATCTGTGTACCACAGGGAGAGTGTCCCTGCTGTCAGTAGCAAGGACAAGGGCTATTCCTCCTTCACTTTTATGTCACCAAGGGTCATAAGATTGGTCCTTGGGAATATCTCACTTAGTCAAAGACTGAATGCTTGAAGGAAAGTCTGTTACGGCTCCAGTGACCAGTGTTTCCTTTTGGGACTCTGCTGCTTTGGGCAGCACAAAGCCCAGCCCAGGGTAGTCCAGCAGACATTCCCTGACCTGTATTCTCACTCCTAGGGAAGCATCTAGAACTCTCAGGGTTTTAAATGCAAGCATATCTTCCCTCCCATCCTCTCCAAGAAATACCTGGTTAGGGTTCAAGAACAATTCAGGTGTATGATAGCAGTCAGAGCTGCCCAGGTGCTTACCAGAAGACAAGCCGCCCCATGATTTACTGCCCTCGAGAGCCCTGTGAAGAAGAACCAATATTCCATTCCCCAGATAAGTAAACTGAGGCTAGGGAAACGGCCTGGCTCCCAGGCACAGCTGGCGTGCCACAAGCACTGCGCTTTGGGGTGCAGACGATTCCCATGAGTGCGTAATGTTAGCCACATGGCGATTTCCAACAGGATTTTAGGGCGGTGGGATGCAGGCCAGTGGACGGTGGTGGCACCCAAGCCAAGCCTGCTAAGGAGGGCTGCCAGGCTGCCTCCGGGGACCTGTCCCCACCCAACAAGACACTACAACCCTGACTCAGACCAAGAGGAAGTTGACGGTTTCGTAGAAAAATGTCACCCACTATCAGGGACAACCCAGGTCTGCCTGTTGCTGCTGCTGCTGTCACAGAGTACATCCAGGGACTGCCACTGTCCTGCCGCCCAGAGAAGCCCAGCATGTGGACAGAGCACAGGCCCACAGAAGTACTGCTGACGTCAAGAAAGCCTCCTATGGTCCACAAGAGCAAGGTCAGGTCAGAGGCTCTGCCTCAGTTCCCTAAATGTTACCTGTGGGTGGTCTGGTGCAGCTGAGTGAGCTGGGAGATGTCATTTCTCCTTCAGACCTGGCCACCTGCCTGCTCTGGGCAGAGTCACTTCCCCTCTCTGGGTCTGAACTTCCTTGGGTGGGTGGGTGGGGGGTGTGCAATGAGGGGCGGGGCCAGAGGCTCCTAAGTGGCTCTAGAGGTCAAGGGTCCTAAGAGGGGCTTGGTCTTCTCTGTCCTCTGAGGAGAACCAAAATGTTGTGCATGTGGAGTGTGTAACTAGGAAGAGGGTCTACACTAGGATTCTCTTGGATATCTGCACACCTACCTAGCTTTCTGCAAATAAAAAGCCAAGAATCCGTGTGTGCACATACATGTGTGTCCGTGTGTGCATGTGTGTGCACTGGGCATCTGTGTGTGTGTGTGAGGTCAGGAAAGTCTTTAGAAGAGAAGGAAGCCTCTCCCACCTGACATTCCAAAGAAGGCATTACAGGGGGCTGGCGAGCTGCTGAGAAAAGCCACAGTGATGTCCAGTGTTTCTGGGGTTTAGGGTAGGGAGTTGCTGCCACAGAGGTGGGTGCTGGGTGCCTTCATATTTAGGATTTGTGTGTGAGGAAGTCCACAGGCCCAGCACAGGGTGCCTCAGACCCACAGGCGCAGCTACAAGGACAGTCAGCAGAAATTTCCTGGGGGGGTGCCATCTTCAGAGCTGAAAGCTGGGACTGGTCTGTGAGCCCTGTGTGGCTCTCAGCAGGGATCCCTGGAAGACTCCAGGCAATTAGGAAAGCCGGGTTGAACAGCAGCCTGGCAGAGGCAGCTCTTCTGCCCAGGAGGTGCCAGGAGTGGTGAAGGGGGGGCTCAGGGGACCGAGGCATGGGTTATTTTTACAAGCCATACGTGCTGTGACTTTCAGGTGTCTACAAGAATAGAAACCACCCAAGATGGGCCTGGGTGATTCATCCCAACACATGGGTGCTCCCTGCATAAATAGTATCTTCCCGCGTGAGACACGGGAAGCCGCCCGGCCCCCCAGAGCTCAGGCTCCCATTGTTTGATGAGGTTGATAAAATTGTGAGAGCCATTTCAGCTCTCGTTGTCACTAATTCTGACTACACCAGGCCAGTGCGATGACCAATATCAAGCCCACTCCTGTGCCAGAACACAGAGCCCAAGCTGGCCAGGGTGCCAAACAAGGCACTGGACAGCCCTTTCCCCAAGTGAGGCCCCTGCTGTGTCCCCAGCCCGATCTAAGCCAAAGACTGACTACTGAGCAAGGTAGGGCAGTCAGACCATGGCATCAGTGTACTCCCCTCATGGAGCACATCCTCAGAGGGGCACGCCTGTCCACCAGGCACTGCTGGGGGGATAAGCTAGGCCGGAGAGCTGGACAAGGTGAGGGACTGAAAGGCCAGAGGCACACTGTCCTCAAGATGCAGGAGGAGTGTAGCATCCTGGGGGCTGAGGTCTTTGTGCTACAAGGGCCAGCGTTTGTAGGGAATGGCAAGAGAGAAAGCTGGAAGCCAGCCAGCCAGGAGTGGGGGCCTCTCAAGGGTCCTCAGGAGCATACCCACTGAACAGGAAGATCGGACAGAAAGCTGACCCATGAAACAGAATCTGCTAAGGTGTCCAGGGCCCAGCTTGATGCATAACCTGGGTGTGGGGGCCCAGGAAGGGGTTCCCCACTCTGCCCCTCCTCAACAAAGGACTCACCATCTCTTGCTCTGGCTACTTTCTTTTTTTTTTTAATGAATATTTCTTTGTCTTATTGCTATTGTTTATTATTTTAAGGTTTAAATACATGCACGTTAAGATGATTGGTAAATATCTAAAATAATCACTGCCCTCTCCCCTCCCCCTGAAATGCAGCTCCCCCATGTGCTCAGAGAGATTGAAGGGTTGAACCCCTCAGGGGTACCCAGGCAAGGGCCCGCCCGTAGCTCAGTCTTCTCAGTCCACCTCCCCCGCCTCATCCCCACAGCTCTGGGGAGTCCTAAATAAGAACTCTCTCAGAAGGGTTCCCTAAGCCTCCCGCAACTACCACCCTGGTCCTTCCCACCCTCTTACCAATCCAGAACAAACGAGAGGTTTTGAGAGCCTGAACGGGTTGTTCCTGCTGCCTTCCAGATGGGGACCCTAGAAGGGTGACCTGAAACACGTACCTCCACCTTCACCAAGCACAGTAGGCAGCACAGAGTTCCAGGAACCAGCAACTTCAGGGCGGGTAGCAAACCCTCTGACTGCCTGCTAAACAGCTGCTCCACAACACCTGAGGACTCACCACATCCTCTCCTGACGCTGGTTCATTCACTCCATAGCCATCGAAGGCCTAGCCCTCCCTCCATGGAGCACCATCCTCAGAGGGGCACACCTGTCCACCAGGCACTGCTGGGGGGATAAGCTAGGCCGGAGAGCTGGACAAGGCGAGGGAGAGAGAGGCCAGAGGCACACTGTCCTCCACACGCAGGAGGAACATGGTGTCCCGGGAGCCGAGGTCTTTGTGCTACAAAGGTCAGCCAGCCAGCCAGGAGTGGGGGCCTCTCAGGGGTCCCCAGAAACATCCCCAGTGAACAGGAAGATCAGACAGGAAGCTGACCCATGAAGAGACATTCTCCCATCCACACTAGGGTCAGGTGTGGAGGTGTACCTGTGCTCACCCGCAGGCCCACTCGGGGGTAGGCTGGAGTGAGGACAACAGCTGTACCACAAAGGATCAGGACAACAGGGGGCTCTAGGGTGTCCGGGAGAAGGCCCCTTTTTTGTCTTTGGATCGAAGTCCAAACACAGCAGAGCAGGCCCCAGGTGGCCACACCCCCTTGAAGCGGCTCTGTAAACTGGGGCTGGTTGCCTAAATTCTCTGAGCCCACTTCCTCATCTGTAAATTGGGGTCACAAGTTCATGCCATCAACAAATGCTTCATCGTCTGGTGTGTGGCCCGCAGTGGTCAACAATGGCAACAGCACCTGTCTCGAGGCCATCAAGGAGTCGAGGGGATGAGAGGAGGAGAAGCAAGTGCCCGAAAACTCAGAGGAGGAGGGTTCTGAAGTCTCTCGGTCCCCAGTGACATGATGTTTGCCATTATCTCCCCTGAAGAGTCTGCTTGAACAGTGGCCAAGGACACGGATAATGGGACCCTCCTGACTGAAGGCACCTGGATCCCAAGCGTGAGAGGAAGCCTCCACAGAGAGCGGAGGGCAGGGGAAACTGAGGAAGGAGAGGCAAAGAGAGGAAGGTCAGTTGAGCAGCTTTATGCTCCAAACCTTCAGGTTCAATCACACTCTGTCCCTACGCTCCACCTGTACACTGAGCGTAGGTGACTTTCATGGCAATCAGTCACAGCTGGGAGCCCTGACATGGTCCTCCCTGAGTCCTGGAGGCTATCCTTCACCCTGTCCCCTAGTTGCCCACAAAGACAGCTAGACCCTAATAGCCACCAGGTAGAGACAGATGGAAGACGCCTGGCCTCCTTGAAAGTGGGCACACAGGTGGCTCACACGTATCAAGGTGTAAGACACACTAACTTCATGCCAGGGCAGGGGCCAGTGGCTGGTTAGAATGCACCCTCCCCTCCCCCACTCCTCCTCTGTCCGTCCCTGGAAATGTGACAGTGAGGTCAAAGGAGGAAGTTTAAATGCTCAGACATCTGTGTGTGGGCTTGCCTGCTGTTCCTGTCACAATTCTAGTCAATTCTTTTAGAGCCTTCCAGCCTGATGGCGCCTGGCAGCCCCAAGCATGCAGACAAAGGTGCTCTTCAAACTTGATGGTTGTTTTGGCACTGAAAGTCCCCAGCATCCAGAAGGTGGTCCTTCACCAGAAAGGTTCAAGATAAATTGAATGTCCAAGGCATCGCCTTCTGGTGAACTCAGGGTAAGAAAGAATTTTGTATCTTACATCAATCTGCTCAGATGGACGCCCACTGTCCTTTGGCTCCCCCACTGTGTGGGAAGCCTCTGGCTTCATGCATTCAGCTTTGCCCAGGGCCCTGTGAGGACAAGGCGGCAGGGTCCTAGGCTGTACCATCCTCCTGGTCTTTCCTCTGCTCTCACCTGGCAACCAGGGACCCAGCTCTCCTCCCTGGGCCGAGGGCCTTTTCTCATCTCTAGGCACCACCTCTAGCCTTCCAGCGGCTCCTTGTCCAGGCCACCTCTGTCTTTTCTTTGATATTGCCCAAGGTCACAGCCATCAAACTGTTCTTGTTTATTTCTTGGGGCTTGGGTGGGGGGCAGCGGGGAAAGAGGACCCCTTTGAAATATTTATTTTCTCTTCTTGTTTCCTGAGGCTTAAAGTGGACTGTTTCCTTTGCCCACACACCTGTCAGGGTCATGTGTGCTGCACCTTAGCTGTTACACTTCTATTCTTATTTATTGTGAGCATTTTCCCCTCTCCATCTCTTCCCACCCCTCCCCTAGGTATGTATATTTTTGTGTTTGCTTTGCTGCATGGAAAATTTTAATTCTGGTAAATAGCCTGTCCTTTCCCCCCATGAATTGTCTTGTAGTTTTTCTTTTTAATAATGAGAGCATCTTTAACCCTGTTTTAGTCTGTCTCAGTTAGTATTACATGGATGTGACCAGCACCTGAGGGAGGAAGGATTTATTTTGACTCACGGTTTCAGAGGCTTCAGTTCGTGATCATCTGGCTCCATGTTTTGGGGCCTGTAGTGAGCAGAACTCCATGATGGTGGGAGCTTGTGGCAGAGGCTGGTCACCTCATGGTGGATAGGAAGGACCAGGTACAATCTTCAAAGGCAACCCCTCCAGTGACCTACTTCCTCCAACAGGCTCCACTGCCTGAAGTTTCCACCACCTTCAAAAATAGCACCACCAGCTGGTGACCAAGTTTTCAACACACGAGCTTGTGGGGGGACACTTCATATTCAAACCATAGCAAATCCTCCACACTTACGAGACTCAAACTATGCATTCACATCCTTCCTGGAAATCTTTGATTTAACTGAGATTTTTTTTTTTTAATTCCTGGGATTGAGAAGAATTCTCTCCAGTACTAAGAGCCTAGCCAGGCCATGGGGGAGGATCCTTGCCAGGAATGTGCTGGCATTCCCTATCCTAGACACAAAGTCCCTTACCTCTGTTTCTTGATGTCATCAAGCCTCTTCCTGGTCACACCTTGTGGCTCAGGCTTTATCTCCGTCCCTAGCCACCTCAACTGTTCAAGGAGACGTCATCCATAAGGGTGACAATGCTCTCCACCACTTGTATTACATATCCTAAGGGTTTGTCAGAGGGGTATAATTTATAAAGAAAGCCGGTTCATTCTCCATAGCACCTTGGAAGTGTACATTATAACAGCCTCATTTACAGAGGCATAAACTGAGGCAGAGAGAGCTTGCCCAGATGTGTGCCACAGCTGCAACTCGGACCCAAGCAATACCTTGCTAAGCACTCCTTGCACTTCCTCACTGAATCCTCACTACGCCCAAGGAAGCAGGGCCCATGAGCCCCGCCATCTATCTTCCAGGTGTGGAAATAGGCATGGAAAGGTTTGACCACTTGCCCGAGATAACCCACTTATTAAGCAGCCAAACACTCTGCCTGAGGAAATGAGGTCAGTAAGACGAAGAGATGTCTGCACGTCCACCGAATCCCGACGCGGAATCCACCCGCGTGTCCTTCGGTGGATGGTTGAGTCGATAGGAAAATGTAAGCAATGTTCACAATGGCGTACCATTCAGCCTTAAAAAAGAATGAGACTCTGGGATTTGCAGCAACGTGGCTGGCACTGAGATTATGCTAAGTTAAAATTCACGCACAGAAAGACAAATACCACCTGATCTCACTCATCTGTGAACCTAAAAAAGTCAAGTTCACACGAGCAGAGAGAAGGTGGTTACCAGGAGCCAGGAGGGTGAGGAGGAAAGGGGTGAGTAAGTTAGTGTTTTTGTTTTTGTTTTGAGGTGCTGAGGGTGGGACGGGGCCTCGCACGTACACAGCACATCCTCTGCCATTGACAGCCCCACTCTACTGTATATCTTGAAATAGCTACAAGAGATTTTGCAATGTTTTGCCACAAAGAGTCAATAAATATTTGAGGTGAGGGGTGTGCTGACCATTTGATTCAATCATTATGCAATGTATAATGTGTGCGTGTATTAAAGCTTCACTGTGTTCCCACAAATTTGTACAATTATTAGGTGTCGATATTTTTAAAATGGAAGAAGGTGAGCAGCACCCTCACCTCCTCTGCCTGATGACAGCTTCCACTCTAACCCTCCACCTTCAACTCTCAGCTCCTGCCCTTTAGCCCACCCCACACACAACTCCCCACCCTCACCAGCCCATGCTAGAGTCTCTCTGCCCCAAAGGACTCCCTCCATAACTGTGAATGGGGTTCCCACCTTCTGCTGCCCAGGTCTACCCTACCCCTACCTCCATCCCATCCATCCACATCTAAAGCACCATCCACAGATGCCTTTGCTTCCTGTCTCACAGAGAAACCTGGGTCCCCAGGTGGGAGACTCTGGCCCTTTGTCTAATTTCAGTCAGTGTCTGCATCCACCCAGCACCTGGCAACGGTACCCCCTGTGCCCAGAGATGCCCGCTCCACTACAGCTCACCCACCTGTGACATCAGTTCTGTGGATGTTCACTGGGTGCCTGAGGGCACAGAAAATGCTAAAGGATGTCACATGAATGAAAATGACTTCATGTGAAGGTAGAAGAGAACTCATGAACTCTGTGGATACTGTTCTATAATCTAAAGTGACCAGAAGTCATAATTTATGTATTATGCAATTATTAAATTACAGAAGTGTCTGCGGAGGTACACTCAATTTTCGTTACATAAAGCACACAATGTTATATAAAGGGAAAGCTATTATGGAAGGGAAAGTTTTCAGTGTTCATTAAAATAATTGGATCTACACTTCTAAATGGAAAGAGCATGAGTGCGAATATTTATAAGATGAAAGCACAGAAGCCTCTTGACTACACACCCCCAGAGCTCTGAGCTGCAGAGGGAGCGAAACACAAGGACAGTCCCCCCCCCGCCCCCTCCC